CCTACAATAAAGAGGAAATTGGACTTACAATTATAACTTTTTATAAAGTTATAAGGTAAGATCATTTTCAAGGAATACAAAAGAGTATTTTTTCAATAGACCATGGCATCTAGTGTGCTCATATGTCAAAATATTTCATTAGACTCAGATTAACTGGGACATTTAGATATGATAAAAATCATGAATATAATAAAGTGTTTAAAAAGCTCAAATACAGTTTATAGAGAAAAAGTTCATTTAAAAGGAGCTTCAATCCACATAAAAGTTTAAATTTTCACAATTTAAAATATAAAAAAGCGATTTTTCAAATAATAACAGAGCACAGCTTTTCCAGGGGAAATGTTTCCAAATGCCTAATATTCAAAAGGTGGCAGTGAAGAGAAAAAGCAAGCACTTTATTCAACACTTTTGCAAAAAACTGTGCTGCGAAGTGCCAGATAAAACAATATTAACAACATATTCATATTTACTTCTAAAGCTTTAATTGTGCACCAGTGTAATTTAATTTTACATAAAAATTTAGAAGTACCAGGTTTGATCAGTGTGAAATAAAGTTCTAGCTAGATTTATACTCTATGTAGCATTTTATTTTAATTTTCTCTTTCAGAGTTATTATATTATTATATTAAAGCATATAAAATTTGTAGCCAGCAAAGCTTCAAATCATTTCAGTTAATTGGCAACTACGGTAGAGCATGAAACATCACTTTTTCCCGGTAGTTTCATTTTAAACAAATCATGTTCACATATAAAAACAGCAAACTGCATTAAATTTTATATAAAAATAGAAAGTTACATTAAATTTTATATAAGACATTTTACAGCTTCCCATATAGGAACAGCTATAAGCAGCTTTTATGGCATATACCACAGCAAACAGTTTTGAATAAATGCTCTTGGAAGATACCATTCATGGAGATATAAGGCACAGCTTTTATCAACTTATTGCTTAAAATATACCATAAAACTTGCAGGCTTAAACAACAAACAAGCAAAAATTACCCAAAGCTTAAGGAGTAATTTCTGATATTCTTTCTTGCCTCCAAGATGAAAAGTGAGGCGTTTGGGTATTTCTGGTAGTTCTAACTAGTTAATACCCAAAATCTTAATTTTAGAACTCTGATTACACATTTGCTATTTCATTCATATTTTCCAAAATGAAATAAAGATGATAGCGCCATCAGAGTCCTTTAAATGTAATTTAGAGTCAACTTCCTATTTTTATTCAATATTTGTTCATTATTTCAGAAACCATCAATTTTAAGCTCTCAGGTCACAAAGGCATCTTTAAAAAAATAAAAAGTTATAAATGTGGCAGACATATTTTTTAACAGAAAAATTTCTGAGTCCTGACATATAAATATTGACTGGTAGATTGACTTCCTAGTTTTTGGACTACTAATGGAGAAAGTTTTGAGAAGTCAGTCCTTTCTTTCTTTATCTAGCAAGTTTCCCAAGGAGGAAAATAATCCTGCAAATGGGTAAATTTTGTCTCATCAGATATATACATCTTATGTTCTATAGCCAAATGAAAGATACTGTACCAGAGTAGTTGTGGGCAGTGAGCAATTTCCTTGTTAAATATTTGAAAATGTACAGAGTATTTTTCTTAAATTTTTCTGAAAGGTAGCTAATTTTCCATAGGGGTAAAAAAAATAAAAGAAATTAAAATATACCACAATAATGACTGTCACAACCCTAAAAGAAAATCTACTATCTAAATTCTATTTTCATGTTACTTAATATTTCAAAACCGCATGTAAAAATTAGAATATTGCCACTACTCAAAATAGTACAAAATAATACAAAATAAAACAGAGGCCTCTAAGACGCATTGCTCAGAATCAAGTGTATTTTCTTTTTTTTTTTTTTGGAGGGAAAACTTTATTAGGAAGTTAAATACAATTGGCAAAAATATTTTCCTGTTCTCTAGTTATGAAAATGAAAAAAGTATCTAGTCCAAGATAATACCAATAACCAATAATTTATTAGTTTGGGTGATTCTTTTTCTTTCTTATTTTCCATATTCTTGCTTAGGTGCCCAGTGAATCAGAGAAAATTTTTCTCTGATTTTATTTATACCACTTATTACAATTAATAACCGGTAACTTATTTAATTGCCTGTTTGGTACCTCAAAGAAATTATGTAATATCCAAAGGCCAAAAACAAAACAAAATACCTTTTTAGAGAATTTAAATGATTAGATATTGGTTATGGAAAAAACAAAAAGAAAATATGCTAACTTCAGAGGGAAATGAGGAAAAAAATCTGAAGCTCAAGAAAAAAAAAAAAAATTCACACAACAGTACTTGTTCCGTGATCATAATAGGTCTTTATATAATTAAATAAATAGTAACCACAAAGTCTTAATTCTAAAACTCTGACTGTATTTTGACTACTTTTTCATATTTCCCAAAATGAAAATGTTTGATAGCAGTGACCAGCATTCTGTAAATATCATTGCTAACTGATGTTCCTCCCTTTCTCCTTAATTTTGTCCATTGTTTAAAATCATACCTCTTGTACAATAGGTATTTAACAAACATTTTGGGAAAACTACACATAATTAAAGAAATTAATTTCTAAATAAATCTGACCATATTTATTGATTTAAAATACAGAATCAGACTATTTTAATTTGTCAATCAGAGGCATATGTTCTTGAACATCTATATAATTTATGCTTTTTACATAAAATATGTGGCATAATATCTGTGGCATTCTCTATAATGTGCAATACAGTGTGTTATACACATATCCATTTCCCATTTTATTTTTATAATTATTTAGTGTTGATGAAGTTGCCAAAGAAGTCACATTGCAAACAGCTAACCTTCAGTTTAAATAAGGGATAAACTTGCTGTAACAACTTAGTTTGAAATGTTAACAACCCTTAGGCTCTTAACATAACAACTGGTCATTAATGTAGTAATGACCAATTTGTACTCTGAGAAATGACTACATTGGCAATTAGGACCAGGGTTTATATTTGAAAGAGTTTAAAATATTTGTAATATGTTAATTAGCATTAAAAGTTGGAACCTATCAGAGATTAAGTAAAAATTATACCACAAAAGCTAAAATACAGTCATTCAGAGAGAAATAAGAATTTCTGATAAGAAAATTATCTCCATAAATTCACTTCAATAAAAACACTGACTAAAGAGTACCAAATACCAGGTTAATACCATATTATTTTACTACCAAAGTAGGACAGAAACAAAACAAATCTGAGGTTAATTTCTCTGCTAGCTACATATTGACCATACTGTTTGACTCACAATGCAGGTATTTCCTTGGAAAATTTATATATCCCGAGATTTCAGACAAGACTCTTTAAAATGTACTTCAAGATGCCCTTTTTGTTTATTAAAATACCTTAATTTAGCTCAGATTGTATAAACTTCTTATTTTGGATGGCAACATAAATCCATTTCAGATATTGAAATCATACGCAAATGTAAAAGTCAAAAGAAAGCAAAAGGCTGTGACTATTGGTTAATACAGACAGAGCAAGTTAGAAAGCAATGTTACATCATGAAATACAAATGCTTTAATGTGTAAATGAAACTGCAATTCACAATGAGAGAAGTAGAAAATTTTATTTCAAAAAGGAACGTTCAGAGACTAGAGAATTCGTAAACAATTCACCTTGTAAGTTTACTCTGGTTAGCCGTGCCACCCTGAGGGAAATCCTAGCTCCTAGAGTACCACCTACTCTTGCTACCTTGTGTGCACTTCGTTCCCTCCTAGCACAGAGGAATAGTCACAAGTTGTTATAATGAGACATGAGGCTATAAGATGAGGCAGTCGTAAGAGGGGGGAAAATGAGAATCCCATAAACAGCCTTCATTCACACTCTTGCAAGTACCATTAATCAAAAGATGTATTTATATATACAAAGATAAAATCTGACTTTAAATAACTGAATTATAGTCTAAGAAAGATCATATTCCCTAGAAAACACCTCCCAGGATGACCAAGATGGTTAAGAGTTACTGTTGATTGATAAATTTTGTGTCATAAGGGAAAAAATTCAAAATAAATAGCTTAATGTCAGTCTAGAAAAATGATTAATTGTATCAAATATGAAAACTTAAGTGATGCCATATATCACTTCTCTAATTTGATAGATCCTACTTTATTAATACAAATAATTTTCAGCTGAATTTGAGTCACAAAGTTCCCTGAAAAGCAAAATAATTTTTTTTCAGTAGAATTTCTGTATTGAGTGCTCAAAGCTCAGAACAGTTGAGTTGACTTCAGAGCCTCATAACCTAGAATGCCTGCATTGTCCTGAAACTGTTCAGATGTTTACTGTTTGGACTGTGGCTATCATTTTCCCTTAAAGGTGAATGTCTGTTATTATCCACAACTACTGGCAAGGCATCGCTGAGGCTGTCAGTACTCAGAGATATCTTTGTGTGACCATCTCTAATGTCATGGGGGGAAGATGTATTCACACTTGGGGAAAGTTTTCAAAACTGTTTGATAAATTTACTAGTAAATACCAGTTAAGAATTCAAGACTGACTTCCTCTGACAAATTTGAAACAGAAATGATAGCTGATTAACTTTAGAAGAACGTTAGGTCCAACTAAAGTTTGAACTTTTTGAAAATAAAGAGTTAAAATATTTAGCTAAGCAAATAATCCAATTCCTTGTGTCATGCTCAACCTACCTTGCCTCTTATGTTCTAATAATAATAATAATAAAACTTAGATGCTGATTTCTACCAAATACATCCTTTACATTGACTGGCACCTTAATTCTGATTCCTAAATGTAAGGATGCAGGCAAGTCAATGAGAAACACTTTAGACATTACTTTCTGTGGGCTTTATCTTATGCACTCATTTGCCTAACACACACAAGGCAACGTTTTGACAACTGACAACTCATCGTCTTTCAGGAACATAAGCTGGGAGTAAGGAAAGGAAACAAACCAAATTATATTTTAAAGGTATCCAGTCATCACTGGTGTGTAAGGATAATTCCTACCTCAGATAGTCTCTGCGACAAAGGATTAGATTAGCTTTAGTGTACAGGGTGGAGCCCACCTCTCCCAAACGACAGTCACAGCAGGCACACTTCAGACAGTCCTCATGCCAGTATTTGTCCAGTGCCTTTAGAAGATACCGGTCCTTGATCTTTCGGTTGCAGCCAGCACAACCTTTCGGCTTGGTGTCCGGCTGGACTGAGAGCATTTGTATACCTAGAGGAACACAAAAACAGGAGAGAGCTGGGACAACCAGACAGAACAGACAAAGGTCGAAAAACCTCAAACAAGTTGAATATAATATTCCCTCTTTCTAGACCTGTAAGATTTTCTTTTTTAGGAAATTTTGGAAAAGAAAGTCTCAAACTTTATGCAATTGTTATTAAATCATTGAGAAAGCCTTATCTGTAAAGCAGTGATAATAACAAATTCATGCTGTACATGTACGTTAACATTATATATGCGAAGTTAAATAGCATTAAGTCATTTTGTAGGGTCCATATTCTCCACATAGAGTAGTTACTTCAGGAAGAAAATGTGAATACATGGCTAACAATGTAAAAGCTATTTAACAAACTAATCCATATAAAGTACTTTAGGAATCAAAAAGTGAGTTTTGCTTAACTGGCTAAAATTTCAGTTAATACGTGCTTGATGATGGAAGAAAAGTGTACTCTGAATGGAATTACAGGAGCCTTACTTAGCAGTGCAGAGGTTTATGACTAAGTATATAGAAGAGCCCCCTGAAAAGCCCACCAATTCTATATTGCTTGTTTGCATTCAAATGCTTCCTTCTGTGTCCTTGATAGTCCAAAGTTTTCAGTATGTTAAAGTAACAAAACATATTTGTGCCCAAAATTATTAGTCAGTGCCTATCAATACTCATTATTTAACTAAATGCTACTTGCTTTTATATAAAACTTAAATATAGGAATAAATGATTGCCATAAGTATGCACTTACTTATTGTATAGAGAAAAGAAAAAATAGAAGGTACAATCTAGATGTATATAAAGTTATACAATTATATATAAATATACACAGAAAGTATACACATACTATCTAAGGTGTAGGGGCATTTATATATTTTAAAGCTGTATAGCCATCATAAATATAGAATGTAGCTGGGTTCTGTGAGTTTTACAACTTGACCGAAATCTTTTCAGTGAATGAATATTCACCTTTGAGTGTTTTCTTGTTTCCTAGGTGTTAAACAAACAGCTTAAAAAAGAAAGCTGGTCCAATTATTCAAAGTTTCGACCTTATCGATACCTAATTTTAAGAAATGTAAAATACTGCAGACATTAGCAATTCCACATTCCCTCATATTTCAAATTTTATTATAGAGGCCAGAGATGTTAAGGGACTGCCTCGGAGCTGCAGGTAAGCTGAGGACTTGGGGCCAAGTGACCTTCCTTCAATGCACAGATCCTTCTGTAATATTTTACTTCCTCTCTAGGCAGAAAGTTTTAAACTTGGATGGAGAAGGACACAAACCATCAAATATACGTACATTGAAAAAGAATTTCGAGAAAAGAAATAGGAAGCATTTTCTATGCATTTCTCCAAATTAGCTAAACTCTCTCATTTCCTTTGATACCTTATGATAGTGTCACCCCCACTAGCTTCACAGCCTTTTGTTAAAAATTGCACTGGTAAGAGACATCAAAGCATTCCCACCCCCTTGCACAGCTGAATAACTTTTCTAGCTACAAATAATGCATGAATTACACATAGTATTATTATGATGTTGAGCTTTCATTAGGAAATAACTTGTCTGGTAGACCAGTGGAGTAGGGCAGGCAGGGAGGAAAGCAGGGTGGCTGTTTTTTCTGCCTGATATGCATAGCTGTGGTCGTCCTGGCTGCAGACTAGCAGCTGGATTTGTACAGAAGAGCAGGTGGTATCCCTATAGCCTGCTTTCTGTGCCTTTTCTTTGAAGGAGCTAAGGGCCTGGTGTAGATTAATCATAACCCTTGATAGCTCTGCTAAATCTCACTCTCTAGAACTTCTAACAAATGAAGTTTCTTTGATCAGAACTAGCTATCCTCTTCTAGCAAGGTTCCACAAGGAATGGATCCCATTAATTACAGCATATAACAGACCCAAGTGCCTCTTAGCCATATACCCAGGGGGGAGGGGGAAATTTTGATAGAGTGAATGACATCCTGAATTTATTGAAAGCATCCAGAGAGATTTTAAGAGTAACTATTCTAGTTACCTAATTTATAAGGCTATTATTTTTTAAATAACAAAGCTAAAAGATGAAAACATTTTAAAAAAAAAATCTTTCATAGTAGTAGCTAAGGTATATTTTTTCCCATAGTTGTGTTATTAATATCACGTGTAGAAGGTTAGCTATCGTTATTTAAAATGCTCTGCAACCAAAATAGAAGATACCAATACTTGGCACAAGTAACACTACCCTGCTTGTCTTCACAAAATGTTTTTGTTGTTTTGACATTTTAATTTAGCTTTCAGAGGCCAATTAATATTTGAAATTCTTACATTCTCTTTGGCCTTGGGCATAAAAGGAGTTGAATTTTTTTTTACATTCCATCCTTAAATCTTCTTTTAGAGAACACTATCACATTTCTCTTGAAAACTGGAATCTTTACAATTCCATGCAAGTTAACAATTGTAGAAAAAGAACTATTCTGTAGTCACCATGTTGCCATGTACCTAAAAGGCGTAAAGTAGTCAGTGACTGCCTCTCATCATCTAGAAGAGCAGGTCTGGGTAGAGTTTATGCATTCGTAGCTGAGAAACACTTCACAGGTTGCTCAAGGCACATCAGGACTCATAACTAGTTTTAGATTGGCATGTAAATTGTTCTGAGGGAAATTCTTATTGCCTCTGAGACCCTGCCATTCTGAGTTATTTGACAGTTTAAGGGAAATCATAATTAAAAAAAAAGACATAAATAATAGCCTGTGCAGTGTGGTGTGCAGAAATAAGTAGAACCATTTCATTTAAACTCTGGTGAGCTTTTAATTGCCTGGATTGCATTGTGAGGCGGACTAACGGTTGATTGCCTCCATTATGTTCCCTTGTTCTGTGCCATTCATCCGCACAGTCTCAGCTTCAGTAGTTAACACAACAAAGTAACCACAACTCCACAACACACAGGGGTTTGAAAAAATAATAATAACAAAAGATTTGCAGCACTTGGATACTGTCTTTTCTATTTCTTGACTAACTACACAAGTGAATGGAAAACATTTTGTCCCTGTCAGAAGATTCACAGTGGACAATTTGGGAGAAGGCTCAGGAAGAGGGGATACATAAACATGGTTGAAAGAGATGAGGTACCTCTGGAAGATGCTAAAATGGGAATGCAGTTTCTGCAGCTGGGAGCAGTGACACAGATTGAAAGAATTTGGCCAACACAGCCATTCCATTGCCAAGAGGTACCAAACAAAAGATTTTCTCTCCTCCTGCCCATCTTCATCCTCCCCTCCACCCCCAACCCGGGTTAGAAAACTGGATTGGGCCTAAAAGATTGTTTCTCTCTGTTCACTGGCCCAGAGCATCCCTATAGGCTGCAGCTCCTAAAGGACAACAATGCAAATAGATGTCCCCAGATCTCTGGCACTGGAGCTGCTTAACTCTGTTCTGTCCCTTCAACTCCCAACCCCCTTCCCTATCCTTCCACCCCCCCCTCCCTTTTTGAGCAATGGAGCTGGGAACCAATTTGATTCCCTGTTTCTCCAATGCAGCTGCAAGGCTCAGAGATACTGACATTTTTCCACTCTTATCAGTTTAATTACAGTTACCATGGCAGCAAAGTGCTAGTGCTTGGCAAAGGCCAACAAGAGATTTGCAAGACTGAGTTCAATTTTGATGCAGCTCACATGCAAAATAAAAAAAAAAAAAAGAAACATACATACACTCTAACAAAGAATCCCTTGCGGAGTTTATGCTCCAAGCCTTTTGTGGCTGTGTCTTTGCAGCCACACAGGGATGGTTTGCAAAGAATGTAGCAGTATTTGTTGCACCTAGCAAGATTAATTGGTTTAAGCAGCAGTCTTTCAAAGCAGTTACAACAATAATATTTCGGATCGTTTAGAACCGCACAAAAGCAGCGGAAGAGCTGGAAGGCTTTGAGCAGCTAGAAGTGCAGGGCGCCAGCAAAGTGCATCTAGGATAGATGGTAACCTTACCAAAACTTTTCTCCTTTTTCTGCATGAGTTGTCTTAGGCGGGCCTGAGTTGCGGCAGCTTCGCATTGAGCACCAAACCCAAAGGTAGAAGTAGAAGGGGGTCTCCTTGATTTGGCTCACGTGTGGCTCTGGTGCGCAGCCTCCTCCGCGGAGGACCCACTATTGTGAAGCCACTTTGGGAGCGGGTCGCAGTGGTGGCAGGGGGTGGGGGAAGGGAGGAGAGCCGCTAGACAAGACACTGAGCCCCTTGCAGCGTGGCAGTTTGCAAAATGATGGCGAATGACAAAGCCACATGCTTCCCTAACTCTGCCCGTAATCCTAAAATCCCAGCGGCCCCTTTTAGCTTCCTGGTAACAAATGGATTTGATTAAACTGTCACATGCAGCGTTAGCATAGCATATCATGTTCAATATGAAAAAGATCATAAATCTGACTTGTATTTCATAACAGCAATCTGAGTAGCCCCCTTTTAAAAAAAATGTGCCGCATTAGTTTGAATCTCTACCTATTAGGACATAAGCACCTCAGTTCACTTCCCCCCCCAACAGTCACTTTTCCAACGCAAAGGAACCCCATTTTGTTATGATGGCTGTGTGTGGGGAGAAGCAGAAGTGTCGTCAAGAACCAAATGGTGGTAATTTCAACTCTTTTAGAGAGGGGTCCATCTCAGCCAACAGAGTATGGTGGGTGTCTGAGACACACACAGCCAGGACTGAATCCCCTTCCCAATCCCAAACTCTCTCAGTCCCTTTCTCCCTTCTAGAGACTCAGTCAGGGGGTGGCTGTGCTGCAGTTCCTGGTGAACTTTGTCTATTAACCACTCCAGTCCTACTTGGACGTTTTTGTGCGCTGCAGCCTGTCTACTCCCTTCCACGCACAGCCTTCGCCTGCATCTATTTCATGTCTTATCATAAAAATAATGAAGCCTCCCATGATTTAAACAAAACCGTCTCAGCAGAGCAGCAGCCCGAGTGAAAGTTGCAGAGCGGAGCTGGAGCTGGGTTGCAGCAGCAGCTCCAGTTTATATCTCATTAGGAGAAGCAAAAAAAAAAAAAACCCACATCCGCACACGCACGCGCGCGCCCGCGGACACACAAATAAGCCGCCGCGTGTGCACACGGTGGCCGCACTTACCTTCTCAATTAAGCGATACAGGGGAGGCCGTTCCTTCAATAAGCACAGTGGCTGCTTTGTAGCGCTTCTCCTTGGGAAAGGTCAAAAAGAAGCATTGTTTGAAAAAAAAAAAAGGTGTGGGGGGAAGGGAATTTCTATTTTTTTTTTTAAGTTTAAAATAATGAGGTCCTCAAGGATGCGTCAAGTAATGGTGTGGTCCGCATCCGAGCCACAGGTGTGCTCCTTTTAGGCAAACTGCAGTCCGAGGCTGTCTGTCTGCTCCGTCCTGGCTCAAGATAACTTACCCCAGCAGCATGCGAGGAGCCAAGCAGAAGGAAGCCCTGGCTCTCAGCTGCAAAATGCAATCCCTTCCCAGCCAGACATAATACACCCCGAGAAAAGGTCACTCTGTTATTACGGAGCTGGAGGAGCCCCGGCAGCGCGTGTCAAGACCACAGAGAAGCAGCTCCCTTCCGATTTAAGACTATTTACCTCTTGCCCCCACCCCTCCCCTCTTCTTTCCTTCTCACCCTCCCTCTCTCTGTCTCCTCTCTCTGTCTCTCTCTCTCTCTCTCTCTCTCTGACTCTCACTCTGGCTGGCTCCCTCGCTCGCTCTCCTGTGCCTGTTCTGCAGCTCAGTCAAGTACAGCCGCCCTCGGAAAGTGCAAAGCAGCCACTAGACAGATCGGGCTTTGTTGCTAATTTCCCAAGGCGAAAATTTACAAGCCTGCGAGTGCAGTCAGCACAACGACATGCATATGCTACCCACAAACGCTGGGGACGACCCCGCACACCAAATGTGACCTAGGCAGGAATCGACTGAGGAAGGACCCTACCTCCTGGACTCGTCCAAAACAAGACCTCCTGCGAAAGAGCTCCCGGACAAGAAGGGTAGGGTTCCTCAAAATAACCGGGGCGTCCTGGAATAGGGTGGCCACATTGCAAGCAAAGTGCCCTTTAAAACCATTTGTTGAAGCTACCAATTATGGAAATTAAAATAAAAGCCAGGGGATCAAACTCTAGCAGGATACACTGGAAAAGCCCATATTCTCCCCCCACCCCTTTTATGAAATGTCTAGGGACGTGGAGGGGCGGGGGTGTGCAGTTGCCAGGTCTGTCTCTGACTTCCATTCAGAAACTCTGTGAAGTCGCTGCGGCTGGGAAAGTCTGTCAACAAGCAGGTCCAGTGGATGACATGCCTCTTCCTCCCATAATGGTCCAAGAGGCAAACTGAATTTCTTCCCCATTACCTAGTGCTGTCCTCCATCAGCACCACGGAGACACACTTTCTGCAATTACTTGAATTCCTTATTATTTAAAACTTACACGCTTACAGGAACAAACACCCAGGAACACAGAGAAAAATGTTTGCAGGACTAACTTGGTCAGAGAGCCCACACTTGCTTCACCATTACCACCTGCTCTTCACAGACTTGTTTTAAGGCCTCCACAGATTTTTTTTTTTCTTTCTTCTTCTTCTTCTTCTTTTTTTTCCTTGAAAGAAGTTTCTTTCTCCTGCACCCTCTCTCTTCTTAACTTTACTTTGCATCTGTAAAGGTCACTGGTAGCTTTAATATATCTTATTATTTTTCTAAGTTTTCAAACTTCAGTCATCCCCTCGTTAAACCCTCACCAGTTTTTACAAGATCTTGTCAAAGATCAAGCTTAAAAATAGTGCTCATTTGAATGACATTGCCTGAAACATTTTTAAGAACCAAGAAAGATTCAATTGTTGAACTACACAAAACTTTTTTCTCCTTTGCATCATCAGTTTAAATCTAGTGCTAGGTTTTTTTTTTAAATCAAAGCAGTCTTCTTGAATATTTATGTTAACTTATTCTTTGTAAAGAATACTGGCATAGCACTACTAAGTTATTTTTTACCCCCAACTTTCTGATAGCTAATAATAAAATAGTAGGTGGCTTGCTATCATCTCCCTTTAAAATGGAACAAAACTCAGAACTAACCTGAAAAACAACGCAATTCACAGACGGCAGATTAATGACCAGCCCTCAGTTGATCTGTTCTGTATATTAAGCAGACTTCTTAAGTTTGGCTTTTCTGGCCCGTCTATGCAGGCACACATGCACCTCACCCATCCGCACAGCTCCCAGCTGGTCTACCCCACTTCTCTGCTGGAGCCACTCTGAAAACACCCCAGTGTGTGAGTGTGTGTGTGTGTGTGTGTGTGTGTGTGTGTGTGGTGTATAGCTCTCTCTCAGCCAATG